GGAAAGAGGTGGTTGGACACTCTTCACTCATTGATAAACTTTTGGGGAACTGTTTTTGTAACTATTACGTTGTCATTCTCATTGTTTAATGAGAATGCATTAGGTGGTGGATTAAGAAAAAAAAAATGTTAGCACAGGATCTGCAGAGGACCTGGAAACAAGAAAAGGAGCAGAGCCTGACTCTCTTGCAAGAAAATCAGAAAGGGTCCGTTTGTGGAGCATTAGTCTAAGTTCGGATACTGGAATGAAGGTGTTTGAAATTATTCCAGGTTTTAAAATTAAATGCAGCAAAAGAAAAAAAATCCTAAACCCTTCCAAAGATACTGCACATTTTCAAGTCTTATCTAACAACCCTCAGATGCACGAGGAAGCATGATTCCTCCCCTCACATCTGCCTGTCTATCTAGTATCCGAACCTTGTTTTAAAAACTGAGGTGTCCTTTACATGGATTTGATGAATCATGCTCATGACAAAAAGTTGGCATGGTTTGAAGATACTCTCATATGTGAAGGTCACGACTATTTAAAGATTAGGCCACAAGAGCCTACACGGAGATGTAGTAGATGTGTTAAGCTGCAGTGTATGTTATTTTCTGAGATATTTGCCTACTTTACTAATTGCTTTTAAGCTAAAATTGCTCTCAAGTTCTGTCTTGTCCATTGAAGGGCTGTGTTATCAGCTAGCCAGACAGTCATTTTCAAGAGGAGCACAAAAGTGCAAAGGGTTAACACAGTTTTCTATTTATTACTTCTCAGAAAATATTACTGGAAAGTGGAAGACAAAATTGTCTGCATCAGAGGCATAGCGAGGGCAGGGCCTGTGTAGCTGCTCTGCATCCCTGTCCTGCTGTGCTTCACACGAAGCCTGGACCCGAGCAAGTGCTGGTGCTGCCGAGCGCAGGCATCTCTCGCCACCGTTTGCAGCGTGCTTGGCTCCTGGTGACCCTGGGCATGTCAACGTGGCCGGTGTTGCAGGCATATTTTACAGAATGAGGCACTCTGTCCATTAGGGGTTGTCTCTTCTCTGCTCTTCATGGAGCAGTGCGGGGCGTGAGGGGACTCAGGGCTGGTGAAAGGTGTTTTCCGAGGCTTGGAGGCAGGAGCTGTGTTGTGCAACTCCATTAGCTGCTTTCTGCTCTGGCTGTGCTTGGAGTGCCCGTGTTTTGCGGCGCACCGTAGAACTTAGCGGCACTTGCTCATTGACAACCCTGGAGCTTCAGAAGTAGGTCAACGGCCCAGCGGGATGCGTATGGGGGAAAGGAGTGCAGGGCCAAGAGCTTATATTAAAATCAACCAAATATATATTTATCCCTGCTGTTTGAATTCAGGCTTTGGGTCTCATCACATGTGCGCTTCCCATTCCCAGTAGCTTAACCTATCACAAAACCAACGCTTTGCGCCTCAGTGAAGTCTCCTGCTGCTCTCAGGGGATTATAAAAGTTGGTTATCTGCATACAAATTAAAACTAGTATCCGCGAGGTCCAGTTTCACTCACGAATTACCACACATGCGTAATTTGGACTCGAGCCCCCAGGCAGCATGCTCCTCTCGCTCTGGGTATGAAAGCATGTGAGCAGGCATGGAAGGCACTTCGCGTTTCGGCTGCCGGGAGAGCGGCCCCGACTTCGCCGGTCGCTGCTCGGCGGCGGAGCCGGGGCCGCCGGCCCGCAGGAAATGCGAGGGCGCGGGCTGAAACCGCGGCGCTCGGGAAGCGCTTCCGAAGCGGGCGCCAAGAGGGACTGTTGTGGGGTCTGCGTGTGACATGTGCCATTGCCCCCACCGTAAAACTAAAATTAGCGAAATGTCAGGAATGGAGAGATTGATTCGCCCAAGATGCAATTATCATTTAAAAAGTGCTTGATTGAGGTGCTGATGTTCAGTGATTTATTCTGCATACCATATACATAATTAAAGTAGTGGAGTGGAGTAATTTATCAATCTAGTTTAGACGAGAGGGGCAAGGAAAGGAGCTGCTGCCGCGGCTCTATGTTTGTTTTATTAAAACGCTTTCGGGCTCTGATCCCGCCCCCTTTTTGCAAGAGTGAAACTGATTATTTCTCCAGCTCGGGAGGAGAGAGTCACTCGTTTGGGATTGTGGGAGCGAGAGAAAGAGAGACGCAGAGAAGGAGAAGGGAAGGGAGGAAGAGAGAGAGGAGCAGAAAAGGACACCTCATCAGGCGTGTAGTTCGAATCCCTTCCTTGCCTCCCCCTTTCCCTCCGCGATGTTACAAAGGCTCTGAGCTGCTCTCCTTTTCCCATTCGCCTGCTGTCACTTCCTTCCTGGACGCTCTCAGGACGAGTCCGGTTACTTTTAATCCGACGAGCAGCTCCGGCACTTTCTCCTCCTCCGCGCTGCACACACCCGCACAGCACGCACACCCGCACACACACCCCAGGCATCTCCCGGCTGCTTATTGGATTGACTTTGAATCTTGTGCGTGTGCTTCAAGGAGGCTGCATGGTGAACCAGGTGGTGAATATTTAAAGGCTGCAAGAAGTAAAGGGATTTTTGCTTTTTCCTGAGAAAGGAAAATATCTCAAGGACTAGCCTGATCATCTAAACAGCTAAATGTTTATAATGTAAGTACACGTGGAATTTAGCGTTGCAATGAAATATCGTGGGCATTGTACAGAAGCCCCATATATGTTTTCTGTTACATTTGGAGAATATATCAGTTGATGTATGTGGACTGGGATGGAGGCTGCTTGCAGACTTTTGAAGTGGTTGACTGCACTGTCAATTGCTTTAAAGTAACTTTTCAGACAAATAACATTGTTAAATCACTGTCTAGTCAAATTACTGCAGGCTTGCCCCTATCGGTGTCATAAGTTTAAACTTTGAAGAAGTTAGTTCATGTCATTTGTATGCTTGATATTGCAAAGTGCTTGGGGCTTATTTGGTTTTAATAGTTCACCAAATGCTATGACCTTGTAGTGCTTGCACCCTGATTTCTCTGACTACGCAAACAGTTCAGTTTGAGTGAAACGCTCTTAAACTTAATTATATCATAGCTCTTCAGTTCTTGAGCTTAGGGAATGCATGCTCCTAAGTGTTTAACTTTGTGCATCTCTCACTTGAATGCTTAAGGTTGGGATGGGGAGACTGCTTATATTGTTGTCGAGATTTAAGATATGCTTCATACCTCTATGGAAATAGTATGCTTTGGTCTTTACATAGTACAGTAAGTAATCTGTACTTTTTTAGCGTGCAGAAGTAGGACTATTCAGCCTAATAGAACTGTTTAGTTTGAATTGCAGTACAGATGCTTCGGGTGTAAGATAAAGTTTAATATAAATGAGGCACTTATAAGACTATTGGTGCAATATGTAACTGTAATATGTGTATGTTGCATAAAACTTTTGTCAGCTTGAAAAACAAATATAAAGGTAAAATAATAAATCATTTTCTCCAAAAATATATATAAAATAATAATAAAAAAGCATAGTGCAAATCAAACTCAGTGAATCACCGTAGGAACTTAAACATTATCTTTTGTAGAAGAGTTCTATTTTCTTTTATTGTATACAGCAACTATTATTAGCAAAACCTGTATCCTAAAATCAAATACTGTAATTCAGAGCTTCAGACTAAAGATTTAAGGGAATTAAGCAGAGAAAGGCACTTTGCCAATATTTCACTGGTGATCAGAAGAAAATTGTCTTGACACAAAATCAATTTTCTTAGCACATATTTAATGATGAGCTTAATGGCACATGTCCTTGTTTCATATCTTTACTTTAAAAGTAATGCAAGATGAATGATAAACCAATTAGATGAAAATATGACTAGTTTGCTTTTTACTGGCACTTTCCAGGGTATTGTGGTTGAAGAGTAAAGATGTTTATATGGAGCATAATAACTCTAATCCCTGGAGGCTTGGCAGGGCATGGAAATATAACCACCTGTGAACCAATTTTAACCTCTGTATTACATCTGATTCCCAATTCAAACATTTCAGGCATTTAATCACTTTGGGGATTTGTTCTTTTGTATGTTTTTTTTTTTTAATGTGATGCTAGGAGCCTAATAAGAAATTAAAAAAAGAAAAAAAAAGAGGTTTCTTATTTTATCAGTTTTATTAAAATACATGTGTTATTTACGTTTTTTATGTATTACTCTGTCTACATTCATGAACTCGTAATTCGTATGGAGTCTGATAGCAAAGTGTCTGCTCACTCTTAAGAACTTAAGGAACTGGCCCTTAGTTCCGTGCATCTGCATTCCTCAAGGTACAAATCCTTTTATTTTTAAATCTTGATATGTTTTCTTTTTTAACTAATATACCTTACATAAATAGATAGATAGTATCAGAAGAAAATTCTAGGGCTTGAATGCGAAGACCCTCTTTCACACAACGCAGGACTTACACAGCTGATGCTACTTGTGTGAAGAGGGACAGGTCACATGAATAGTGGGCTGCTGGATCAGGCTCATAGAAGACCTAGACATAATGCTTTGTCCCACAGTTTTCTTAGGATAGAGATGGAATGAATATCGCTTTTGATTTCCTTATGAATGAAGGTAGGAGTCAGATATTCTTGTATACTGTTAAGATTACTTGAACAAGAAAAAAGGAAACAGGCTTAAAAAAAAGTCTTGTGAGACTTGGTACTAAATGATGAATAATGCGTCTTTAGAAACACGTTCCTGAGATGCTAATTTCAGAGGGTCATATGGATTATCATTCTCATACTTACTCTCAATGAAGTTTCTTTCATTATAGCAGTCAGGTATTTTTTTAAAAAAAACTTTATATATAGATATTTTCCTAAACTCCCTTTATTTGTGACCCTGAAACGTATGTATTCAAAATAGAGAGACACCTATATTAAACAATGCTGTTTTTAAAAATATCTAATACATGTAAGACAAAGAGAATGAACCTTTCTGACACTTTTTTGAAAAGTTTATCTCTGAAAGATTTTGCTACTGAGTTGAGTAACTCCCTGTTTAGTAAGTAAATATAACTGCATAGAAACTTGGGAACTAAGTAGGAGTTGTGGACTGAATACTTTTGTCAGTTTTGTTTCTTTTTATTTTACTTTTCTTTGTAGTAGGTAATTTACTGTAATAGGTTGATTTACTCTTCAGCAAAATAGTTCAGCTCATCTTCACAGAGAGCTAAGGAGTATTTCTATGACTGATTAGGCAAGAAGTCATGAAGTGATATTAGATGCTTGAAACAAGATCACTTGTTTTATGATACGTTGACTCCAGTTTACCTGTTGGGCATAGTTATTCTAAATTACATGATAATATAATAAATCAAAAAAAAATCAGACAATATATAATGAAATTCTTTTGAAAACTGATTCTGAAGATGAACATAAATAAGGTGCTGTGTAATTTTGACATATAAGCGTAGTGGTTAGTTTTGGGACGTAATTTAAGCTTTTTAAGTTTAGCTGAATAATATTAACAGAGTTTTTTTTTTACATCCTCATTCAGACTCTGTAGTAAAAACATTTGAAAAAAATACATAATTTAAAACAGCTATGACACTTCAGGTTTAGGAATAGGGTTTGTATTCTGGTATATTGAAAGGTTGGAAATACGTTTTTTTGCACCTTATTTCAAAAGCAAAATGGGCATAGAAGAACTCCGGTTAGAAAGCACCACTGGTGGTGCAAGTGAAAAATTGTGGGTGGGAGAGGGAGAGAAAAGAATTTCTTAATTTTCTAGTATTTAAAATAGTTGAATTGCCTGACTCTTCTGACAGCTTTAAGGTAATTTTCTCAGGCCAATTTTACATTTGGACAGGTGATTTAAAGCTGGTGTCTTCAGTCCTCTATGTTAATCTCACTGTCTCAGTGACTGCAGAGCTTATCTGTTCAGTGGGATCTGTCATCTTTAGGAAATCAGACCAGCTTGTAGAGGCGATTCACAAAACCAACAGTGACAACAAAGTCTTATGTGCCTTACAAAAGAAGGATTAGGCAGTTCACATGTCATTTTGATTGGGGAGAGATAAAAGCTGATTGCTGCAGCATGGCAAGGCACACTTCAATTTCAATTGATTATTTTATAAGGCAACTATAACTCCATTGCTTAGTCAGTATTAAATGCAATTTAAACAATGAGGATTCAATTTTGCAATTGCTAGGTCTGTATGACTTGATACTAAAAGGAAGAGCCACTTGTAGCATTGGATACAGTTTTTCAAAAGCACTGTTTATTCACCATTTCTGGAAAACAGGTTTAAAATTTAGTGGGTGATTATCCTGCGATTTTTAAGAATGTTTTTGGTTAGATGATATACTGCAATAGCAATTAAAAATTCGTGAAAGACTGTGCTAAATTCACCGTGCTTACCCTGTTAAGATGGTACGTGCAGAAAAGAGTGCATAAATGCATAAATGGAATTCATTTTTTTTTCTGGAATTCTATCAAAAAGTATTATACTGAGGAGTAAGTTGTCTTAATTTAGAACTATTCTCTTATATTTAAAAATATTTAAAAATATAAGAGAATATACTTTGTGTTGCATCTGTGAACGTGGAACTCTGACCTGAAAATAGTTAGCAAATTAAATGTTGCCCTTTATTTTTGTTGATGAGAATATAAATTTTTAGCTAATTGTATAATTTAGTTATAAGACATACCCTTTAAGTTTTGGGAGTATTAAACTTCCATGATGATTACTTACCCTTACATACTAATTTCTTCCCTCTTTTTTTTTAAAAAAAAAAAAAAAAACTTTTTTTTTACCCAACTGATGCCTCCTAGTGTTTCACATAATAAAACACTAATGAGTCACCCATAAATGTAGACATTGTTTTTTCATTGCCTTCATCTTATATGATACATAAAATTAATATTTATGTATTTAATTTTGTGTGCATTACTATAATTAGAAAGGAAACTTATAAATTGAGATATTTCATCTTAAAGGACACTATAAAGCACATTTCACTTTTCCTTGCTTCTAGGTTTGTCTAGCTGTACTTGGAAAAGTCGGTATCATGCATAGCGTACATTCTCCTCTTCTTTTTCCCTTTTGTTTCCCTTGTTCATTAGACTAACTTTTCAACAACGTATTGTGGGTCTCAAATGGGAATTTAAGAAGTTTCAGTAGGATAGTGTTTCCAAAAGCTAGCTCTTGAAAGTAGGCAATAAATTCAGCCATACAAGTGTTTGAAATAACTTGAAGTACCTCACAGCCAAGTAAAATGAAAAAGACCATTCTGAGACACGCTTGCTTACTATAGTCCTTAAATAATAGTTAAATTGTTATATTCTGTAAATATTCTTGGTTATTTAAAGGCCATATAAACAAAAAATAACTGTATTAGACAAGTTTTCAATTGTGCAAAACATGCACCTTGCCATTTTGACGCTAGAGGTGGAGGTCCAGTACCTCTGAAAATGAATCTGTATGTGTAAATTATTGAAGGAGAGCTTGGGGTGCTAAAGATTGAAATATAGTGTCCTTTTCTTAAAAGTTCACTTTGGCCATAGAACTCATCAATACCTGAAAAAGCATTCATTTTTTTTAGATTTATATCATGTAACATGTAGCAGATTTTTTTTTTTTTTTTTTTTAGGAGTAAACGTAATTGTCAAAAAGTTATCAGGCATC